GTGTTTTTTCCAAAATCAAACTGGAAGTTGACGACTCAAATGTTGGTAAAGTGGCATCTAAGACATCAACATCCAAATTGTGGGACGAATAGTTCTTAGCGCTTCATCCAGGAAATCTTCCTCAGCAGTATTCCGCATGATAACTTGGCAGGATTGCGTTAACTGTGCTWTAGGCAAATTATCTGGTCGTCCAGTGCCATCCTCATCGCCAGARTCTTCATCTGTTTCAATATTTTTACCGCTCGGAGCTTCAATAACTATTTTTTCTATAATCTCATCCCCATCATCATCTGACATCAATTCCTCAAGAATATTCTTCCTCCAATGTCAAACAAGTATATCTGAACATAAATATAAACTTTTATGACACACACATAAAAATATAGTTATAATATTCTTGTATAGTTATGCACACGGATATAAAAACACTGAGATAAGTTCCCTGTTGCTAATACCTAACAAAACCAGCAAAAAGTACGGGGGATGCCCACTGYTACACATATGTAACGCCTTCATTGTCGGCTCTTCAGGGAGCACTYCTCCCAGGAAATATTTTTTCTCACATTTTTATAACTTTCTTGCATATTTATCAATAACTTTTAATAAACAATATTGTTTTTATCAGACATATAAATATATTAATATCTATGTTTACCTTCGACGTGACGTCATTTCTCCGCTTTTACCACTTCTAAAAAACTTCACTTCGCGCACAAGTAACTGCGTTGAAATTGAAAAGAAAACTGACTTGATTTTCAAAACSAATCGCTTGCAGTGCTGTATTCTAATAAATGGTAGACTTAAATTCTGATTCGTAGAAGTATTCTGCTCTCAGCCAGCGCTTAAAGTTTGAATGCGGTGATTTACATATATGTAACAGTGGGCTTGAATGGGTTAAACTTTAATGAGTTTGTTCATTTAATTGCTTTGGAGCAGCTTATACCGGACATTACAATAGAGATGATAAGTAGCGTTTCGACCATTTTTAATACAATGTATGTTATGTTCTGTAATTTTTTTCATTGTATTCAGCAATGTTTACAACTTCATTATGATTATATAATAATAATAAATAATTAAAAAATCACATTCCCACATGAAGCTCACTTTCATCTGACTGTTGCGGTAAATAAACAAAATTGTCGATTCTGGTGCAAAAAAATCCACTGATTATATTGGAAATCCATTAAATTCACCTAAATTTACAACTGGGCTACGTGCCACGCAGCACGTGCARCAACCGCATAACTTCGAGAAAAGTTTGGATATTCGATTGTTTCAAGAAGTTGCGATATCGAATGACCTACAAAAAGTTATGAGTTATCACCATTAGACTACTTCTTGTGGGGTTATTTAAAGTTTTTTCAAGCTTTAGACGTCAATATGAACGTGGTATTCATGGCATACAACTTGATMTAGTGGAAAAAGTACTTGAAAATTGGGTTCATCGAATTCGTTATTGTAAAAGAAGTCGTGGAGGCCATTTGAATGATGTTATATTCAGAACTTAATTGTATCGATTGTACTTCACATTAAATAAAAACATTTAATTTGCTTAACAATTTTTGTTTTCTTTTGAAAAGAATTGCATACAGCGCGGACAAATACGCAGAAGAAGAGGCTCGATATATCAAAAATATGTCACAAAGCACCCCACGATTTTTTTACAATAATATACGAATTTTTGGTTCATTATTTTTGAAAGATTATTTTTCACTTTTTAGTTTGATGTGCTTTAATAGCGTGTTTTTTAGTTTTATAAACTGTATTTATTTTTCACTTTTGAACTACCGTACCATAGACATTTCATCTATAAACAGAAACTCAACGTTGTGCCRTAATTGGTGCATCTCTCTCAAGTAATATCCTTTAAACGATTCTCCCGGTGCAAAACACTGCATTTCTTTGTGGCTCACCAAAAGGATGCGCCTAAAAGTATGTAACATTTAAAAAGCATTGATTTCTAATTGCAAAACTAAAGCAAGTAAGTAAACAATACAAGTGATGCAAATGAAAGCGTATTAAAACAAAGTAAACGTGTATTCGTATAATATATATTAATAAAATTTGAATTATTGAAATGTTGCGTGAGAATGGAAACTTGCACTGTTCATAATTTAATTAGCCTTTCGAAAACACATCTCGCAGCGTCAGCAATAAAATTAAAGCATGAAGTATCTGCCTACAAACCGAAACACATGCAGGTCCACCCGGAAGGATGTGAGCAGAGTTGAAGGTAACATAGGCGATTAAATCGTGATGACGATAAAATCACCTATAAAACTACGTGCCGCATAAAAACGTAACAGCGGAAAGAGAGCTCACCTAACTGAAAAACTATGAATGAAAAAATAATATATAGTATATGATTAAAGTAATTGTTGTAATTATTTTTTTCTATCCGTCAATAAAATATCGTTACAAGTGAAATAGCAACGAAATTAAAACACCTGCGCCTTTGTGTGAGCACACAACTGCAAAAATCCTAACAAAACCCGCACCAACTTAGGCTGTTAGTTTTTGTTATTAGTTAGTAAAAACACCGCCCGCTACAAATATGAGAATTACATTGAATAAGAATATAAAATAAAGCAGGTGTATGTTAGATGATGTATGTACATATGTGTTTGTAAATAGAAAATTTGAGAAGAAACCGTTGACTATCACGAGCGCCCAGTGAACAGCGTTGAGTAACAGGACACGAGTATGCTAGAGTGCATGTGCAGAGAAATGACAGTAGTTCTCATTATAATTACATATATTCCTATACATCAATATTTCTAGTAACTTACTGGAATATTAAACGTATGTTTTGTTTGATTTATTTCCAGCCGGAGAGTTTTGGGGAAATAGAGAGTAAATTTGCACAATACAATAACATACAAAAGCTTATTAAATATTCATCAACTGAAGGCATGTCTTTGTACTATTGTAGTTCACAAAGTGACACTATGGGTATGAAGTGAAATAAATGAASCTTTCGCCCATAAGTTTCTCTAAAATTTAAATATTCGAAATTTTTCTGACCAATTTTACATATTTTGTAAACTAAGGGAAAGGAACTTCCATGAAGATCTTTATCCAGATTCTTATCGATCAGTATGTAAGTCAGCTTTATGCTGTATTGGTTCTATCTAAAAATTATTATATAATCAGAGATTATCTTTAGAGATATTAGCATTGGCTTCGACAGTAATAAAAAGTAAGTCTTCCATATCAGATCTTCATTTTGATCGCAGAGTTTGTATTCCAGCTATATTCTGAGCCCGATCTGAACAATTTTATATGCGACAATAATTTATGCATAAAGACATCGTGTCAAATAAAAAAGTATTTCCAACAAGAACTGATCTTGATTGAACAGTTTTTAAGCTAATTATCGTTTCGACAAATTAACCGCTTCTTGGAGAGAGGAGCTCTTGATTTTGTTGTCCTCGAATCGCGTGTTTAATTCTATTTTAAGTTTCCATCAAGTAGAYACATATATGAATTCATATGTCTTGGGACTTCGGATTTTCTCTAATCTCCAGCTTGCTGAAAAATTCAAGTCATAATTAAGCACATTTTTGGCARAGCTCGAATTTTCTTAATTCGATACATTCGTTGTAGTACATATTTTTTGCTTCAGAATAGCTCTCAGTCAGTGATTTCTTTTAAATTTGCGATTTTGTCAAGCAGGCGTTCGCTTGCGATTCTTGTAGATCAAGAATAGAACTTCGACACTCTACCTCACTGTCGATCATATTTTACAATAGGAGGATATTAGGATCTACCAGGTAAACACGTTGATTTTGAATTTTACAGTTACTGTTTTCAAAGCCTAAACCACGTAATTTGTTTGAGGAAGTTACTGAGATATAAAAGTTTAAATTCTGAACTGCCCCTAACACAATGGCCCACTGTATTAGGGCTAGAAATACATCGTCTCTCTTCAACTTGCACGACTTCCACGAATGTGTGTATTACTTGTTTGTTGGTAGAGCTCCTGGAAGGACTAACTGTTCGAGTCACACGATAACCGGAAAGTTAAAACTGCGCCTTTTGTCATTGTGAAAATTTAGTTCGATTTCGACCGTGCAACATGTAAAACGTGCCACAAGCGGTCTACGCATTGCGTGATAAATTTAATCTGATCAAAAGTGAATCAAAATAAATAAGTGAATAGAAAAAGAAAAACAAAGCATAAACATGCATACACACTTAYCTAACCTCAAAGTACAAATGCGTTAGCTGGATTTTTGAAAATTGTATTTTACCAGAATATGTGTGTTTAAGTGATTGGAATGAATGTGCAAAAAATGCATATATGGAATATCTTTGTTTTTTACGAATCCTAACGAATTTTGACAACTTTACTTAACTAATATCCAAATAACGGTAATTTCTACAGTGCGCCATGGGCCAAGGGGATAGCCGACCGAGCGTACACAAATCTTTTGCTCCTAAAACTTGCTTGTAATGAATTATGARGTTATTATTTGCGGTGAAAGTGAAATCATTTCTCATTGTAACCTGTATAATTGGGCGTAAATTAAGTCCATAATAACTTGACGCTACTAAATTGTGGCGCCACAAAGAAATCGACATTTGTAATAGTGCACCAGTGACAATAAATTTTCTTCTGTTCGATTTACCCTCCGTTCGCCCACTTAAAGGCAACTACCAACCAGCGAAAATAGCGCCGATTCCGCTATACTGGCTACCGAATGGATAATGGGTATTTGTTTAGACACAGGTGAGTTAAGTTTTCAGTGTAGAATTAGTGAATTTTTGGAGAGTTGATTAATCCACGTAAGCATCTAACAGTTTTTTTTTGGATTAATCGTATTACGTTACCGTTACTGACTTTGCATTGTTTATTAGTAAACAGGTACTTTAACTTCTACTCGCTGTTAGTTATGGTAGATATGTATTTAAAAATACTCTTATTCAAGCTAAAGATTTTAAAATCGGCTGCAGTCCACATAATTATTTGAGGAATGTTTTCTGGCAAAGACCTGTTCTGTAAGTAACTGGCACCGAAGTTGGAAAGGGGTGAGTTGGGCAGGGACACAAGGAGGTGAGCATCTTAGCGTATGGCTCCAAACTAGATAATCGAGTGAGAGGTGGTGTCTTTTTAGCAAGCTGAAACACCAGAATCGTTTTCGGTCTACCAGATCACTGCAATGAAAAAGAAAGCTTCTTRTTCTGATAAACAATCTCTTTTGCTTTCATAAAGATAGGGAAAGAATGTCTTGATCTCTTACTAGATCAAATAGCTTAAATTCTTAGTAACAGTGAAGCAGATGAACTAGCCAGACCCGACACACCCCTATAATTAGACTCCGAAAAAGAGGCCTTTGGCTACTTGCAGATATAATATAAAAAGTCACTATCTAATTGGCAGACAGGCCAGCAGACTCGGAGTACCAAACAATGACTATTGCAGAAGCTTTTAAAAGATAGAAGAATACACAGATAAAACTTTTTGTATTGGTGAATTTCTTCAGAAGTACAGGGTGGTTCAGAGGGGACAAAATAGAGTGTGGTAGTACCTATCTGTTGCTATGGCAGCGATTTGTTTATGTTTATAAAGAAAATAATACGAGTATATGAATATATGCGATCGTTGTATTTATGCTTTTCTTCGCRCTGCGCAACGATCGATGCTCYATACGTTATGAGAGGTAGGAGGACAAAAGAATGTTTGGAAGGGCATGAATGAACAAAAATGTTTTTTAGATTATTCACATTTCACATTTTCAGATAGATCACATACACACAATCACAGTTTTTTTAGCGTAAAGAACACATTTAAAATTTCAATTGTTCAACAAAAAATTGTGGTTAATACTATTATTTAAACAAATTGACCTTGAAAAAATATTTATAATATAGCAGGGAAATCTTTCTTTGGGTTCACAAAATTTCATCGATTTATCTTCAGTAGTTTATGAGAAAATAATTTTACAATTTTACTGAATTTTGACGAAATATTTACATATATCACGKGATATGCATCTGCTCCCCTTYMTAAAGAACTGCTRATTTTCAAAATCGAAGAGTTTACGAATTTTTCACCAAYCATATGCTAGCGGTTTGCTGAATCTCCTACAGGCCATAGAAGTAACGAAGAACGCAGAAGACGTTAAAATGAGTTTGTTACAATTTTAGTTTATTTTATTGATATGCTTCAATAAAATAAACTACAATTTTTTAGATGATCTTAAAATTGAGTTGAATGAGACAATTGACGTTTTTAAGATATACTAAATTATTCAATAAAGAAGTGCAWTAAATTTTGTGTGTGGAATAAAAGTTCAAAAAGTCATAATTGTTTGTCGAGAGCAAGTGTTTTTGATTGATACTACCACGACTGCCAGGATGTCATGAAACGTATTATTAATATCGACGTGTCTCAGATCTCCGCTTATAACCCGGAAACGGACGACAACTCGRAAACTGACGAACAATCAWGGCTATGYTCACAAYTTTCTTCGATTATSGAGGTATGGTAGATWGCGAATTCCTTCCGACCGGCCAAACTATCAACAAGGAATAGCATTTGAGTGTTATGCGTCGTTTGCGCGAAGCTATTTGCAAATGGAGGCCGGAATTATGGGCSRMMAMYYTTKGKT